TCCTATATCGAGTTATAAATATTATTAGATCCTCTAAGTCCGCTACTATTCTAAGTCGATAGAATCCCTACTATATATCGAGTTTAGTAAAGCGTCTTACGTAGGCTAATCGGTCTATTATCTTATTAATAAGTAATAATAGGTAGATATCTTTTTCTGTAACCGTATTTAGTTATTAGTAGTCTATATAAAAGCGTAGTCCGCTATCTACCTTCTTTGTTATTAGGATTAGAGAAGCGAAGGGGTATCTTACCGGAACGATAAAGCCCTTTTATAAGTTCTCGAAAAGGTACTTTCGAACTACTTTAAGCTCCTCCTAGTTTATCTTATAGAGGGAGTAATAGCCTAGTCTCTACTCTCCGTTAAGAAGGATCTTATAGTCGAACGGACTCCGATATAGTAGTAGAACGTCGGATTTATATTACGAGAAGAACTCCTATAGATTATAGTATATCTTAGGAATTTACTATTAAATAGACTCCTTCTCTGTAACTACTTCGTTTCTAGGAGCTAGTTCCGTAATTACTGTATCGATCTCGTTAAGAGTAGTAATAAATACTTCGGTATCCTTAGCCTATATATAGCGTTTAAACCCTACTCGACTAATAAAAGCTCGAGCGGGACTTAGAAATACGGTATTTAATTCTGCGCGAGACGGTTAAGGAGCTAGGACTACCGGTTCTCTATCCCTAGCTATTATATAGCTAAATACCTTATAGGCTCGTATATAGTTACTTAAGAACTCTTTAGGAAGTCGATATTCGGTATTATATATAGTTAAAGTAACCCGAGATCTATCGATCCGCTCCTACTCGATTAGTCGCTCTATTTCCCGGTTACGGGCTTCGGTATATACCTAATATTTCTAATTTATAATCTATAGACGCGTTAATACCGGTAGGGGGATCTCTAGAGTTAGTTTCCCGGCTATCTTATTTACTAGAGTAACTTTAGTAGGCTACTAGATTCGGTAATTCGTATAATCTAATAATACTTAATAATACGCGAACTAGGCTCGTCCGATAATTACGTAGTAATAACCTAAACCGGTAATAAGGAATAGTATCTAATAAAACCGTTATCTATCGATCTAGAGAGTTAGAACGATTATATAGGTAATAGCGTTTCTACCTTTTCTATTATATCCCTCTACCTTTACTAACTAGGATAAAGGTATCTATAGAATATTCTAAATATCTCGGATAGTATAGGCTAATCCTTTATTAATAGCTATATAGGGTATTACTCTAGTATCGAGTAAAGTAGTTATACGGGTTAACTAACTATTAGATATAAGTATAATTAGAAAAGTAAATTATTCGTTATTTCCTAATACCGTATATAAATCTAAAGGTATAACTACTTTCGTAATATTTATACCTAGAAGGAAGACTTATTCTAGGCTTAGGCTTTTCCCGCCTCGGAGGGTTTAGAGATCTCTTCTATATAACTAGGGTTAGATACTAATATCTTAGCTACTAAAGTAGCGCGTTTCTTACTAGGATACTTAGAAGATATATATCCGGTCTATCTATATCTAAAGTATCGTCCTTCCTTTATATAGCGGATACGGGTCTTCCTATCTAGACTCTTAGCGTTAGATACTAGGATTATCTTTATCTCGCGAGACGTAGTACTAGATAATACCGAAGTTATAGTAGTAGTTTTATTATTAGACTTCTTAGAGAAACGCGTCTTCGACGCTCTAGATAGATCGGTACTTTTGTTATTAGTAGTCTAGCCGTATCGCTAAGCGGAGATCTAGCTACTTAGATAAAGAGCGTTATACTTCTTTCTAATCTTATAGCTAAACTCGGTAAAGGATATAAGAGGCTTATCGATTAAGTCGATATCGATAATCTCCCGAAGTCGGGGAGTTAAGTAGTTCTAGAGAACGTACTTCTTCTAGCGCTCGCCTATAATAAGTTCGCTAGCGTCGAAGAGATAAGAGAACTAAGATAGGAAGTCGCTAAATAACTAGCTAGCCTATATCTCTAAGTTCTAGAAATCCTATTTAGAGTATATAGCTTTATTATAGTCGCCGAAGATAGATCTAAGATACTTAAAAAGGTCGTTATAGTTCTAGTATCGCTCGGAGGCTATATCTATTATATATTAATTAATATTCTATTCGGCTATATCTCTATATCGAGAGTAAGCGTAGTCTAAAGCTAAGGGATCGTTAAGATCTAGTCCTATACTATATAGCTTATACTCTATCGTAATCTTCTAGTTTTCCTAAGTTATTTCCTTTCTATTAGTAAGTAGGAATAGATCGGGGATCTTAAATTTACGTATAGTATATATAGAATCGGAACGGCCTATTATAGTAGTATCTACGGTAGCTTTATACTACTTACGTTAGTTAGTAGGAGATATAGAGCGGCTTATTTCGATTCGATCAGCGGAGATATAGATCTACTAGAGGATTATCTATAAAAGCTTAATAGTAGTAGTATTAAGATCGGTACGTTCCTCGGACTTATAGAGGAGCTCGTTATTTATTATCTTCTAGTTTATTAGTTTAACTACCTTAGCGGTAGCTATAGCGAGCTATCCGCGTTATTCCTCTACTTCGTTATCGAGATAATATAAGTAGTCGACCGTCGCTCGCTATATATCCTGTATTAAGTCGAATATAAACCTAGGTTCGTCGCGTACTAAGTCGATAAAATTCTTACGGCTAAGTTTTCTATCGCGTAAATACTCGAGTAGATTATCTAGCTAAGGCGTAACCTAAATAAAATATATATCGTAGTCTTTATAGGGAAGATCGTTAGGTCTAGCTAAGAAGCTCTATTAATATATACTACGTAACTCTCCCTAACCGGGTTCTTTATTAATACCTAGGCGTACTATATTAATAGATACTACCGTATCGATTATTTAAAGGGAAAAGAGAAAAATAAGAGAAGGTAATATATAAAGACTTAATAACTCGTAGTAAGCACCGGTCTATCGTATAAAGATAAAAAGAATATTAAAGGTCTTAGTTTTTATATAGCTCCTAGGTAGTATAGCTACGATAACCTACGTATAGAAGAAGGAAGGTAAAGTAACTATATCCTATATAATAAAGAAAACTAAGACGAAGGGGAAAAAGGAAAGGAAGAAATAAGGAAGGTAAAGTACTACCTTAAATACCTATCGTAGATAGGGCTATAGTAAGGCGGCAGAATCCTTATAGAAAGTCCCGGATAGAAGGTTCCTCTACAGAAGTAAACCGAAAGGTAAATAATCCTTAGGCTCTAGCGTACACACACGCGTAAGACTTCTATTAATAACGCGTAGGCAAACATCTAATCTTATAAACGCAAACATCGATTATATAATCTCCTCCTTAACTCCCTAAGTCCATATCCATCAACTAGCTAACCAACCTACCAGTTAATACTAACTCGCCAGTCGGCTGACTAACTAGTCAGTGAACTTACCAGTTCGCGGTGACTGACCAGTTAACTTATCCAACCAACTCCACCCTCCAAGTCTGTTCACGAACTAGTCAACCGACTAGCCAGTTGACTATTGACTTGTTGCCTATACGTCACAATACTTCTAGATATAGAAGGAAGCTTTTTATATATAAAGGGCTAAAGCGAGACTTAAATTTAATCTAACTAGGCTATAATCTATATACAAAAAGCTTAAAGAAAGGAAGTTCTTTCTTCGTGTTCCTTATGTTAACACGCTAAGGTCTCGTGATACACATAACTAACATCGGGCACTGGCCCGTGATATTAAGTTATATTTTTATTAATCCACTTATTAAATTCCTCTTCGGTAGGTTCTTATCTAAGTTAAGTAAAAAGGACCTTTTAAATAGCTTCTTCTATAGGAGTATTACGAGGCTCTTAAATAGGATATATTATTTTATCTATAATAATAGATTATAGGTCTTCGTCTAGACTATCTATAATAAATTAAAGCCTCTATTTCTATTTCTCGAAGTTAGCTCTTCCCTTAAGTATAGGAACTAATTCGGCGAAGGTTTTAGCCGCCTTATAAGTCTTAAGATCGGAAACTATATTAAATATATATAAATATATTAATCCTACTATAACGAAGTACTGCTACGTAGGTAATATCTACTATAGCGATATACTACTATATAGACGTATCTACTACGGCGATATACCGCTATATAGATAAAGAGTATAAGAGCTCTGAAAATAGCGTAGAAGCCGGAGGGATTTTATATATTTTTTAAATAGCGTTAGAGCCGAAGAAGGGACTTTAGCGATAATTCGATTCGATAGCTTCGGTAGCCGTATTCGATATATATAGAACGCGATGCGTATATAACACAGAGAGATCGTTAAGTCGTAAAGGAGTACGAAATTTACACTCTGTAGAAGGCGTAAGATATGCCGAAAAACGATGGAAAAAGCGGTTATTATACAAGTTATGCCTAGGCAGTGAGGAAATATGAATAACCTCACTTTTTATACGCTAAGCAGGGCTTATAACCTATTAGATGCTACTGGGAGAACGTAGCAGACCCAAAAGAGGGGAGAAAGGAATAGTGAGATTGCATCTGGTGAGAGGTACCTATCTAAGCTACGAAGGTGGTGTATATGGGCGCGCACCACGCTGGTGACACGCCTGACCACTAAGCTATCTCAACACCTTGAATACCACGTAGAACAGTTGAATAAAAGTTTATGAGTCCTTCTGAAGCTTTTCCTAAACTGGCGTACAACAGGGACTACCCTCCTCAATTCCTGATAAGATAGAACCTGGAAACAGCAGGATACCGAGAAAATTTTGAACAAAAGATTCAAAGGAACATGCGAAATTTCGGAAATGCCCACGCCCGCCAATTCTACCGAACGAAGACGAAGCATCACGACACTGAAGATAGAAGCGATCTACATCACCTGCTCGAAGAAACCGGATGTTTCGACAAGACCACTATCTATACGTTTCCTTGACTTATAATCAAACATGGGAGCCGACCGACAGGACGTTCGCGTCGTAATGTCTCGCTGATGAATTCTCGCTTATTCTCCTACCTCACGGTCGCCTTCCCAGTGAACAAGCTTCATGATCGACCATTCCCATGACCAACGTCGCAGAAATCCTCCGAAAAAATAGAAGATGAACAAACCAAGGAAAATGACCCCGGAAATGATAGCCATTTCCCCGAACGCCTGTTGATATCCTTGTTCTTGAATCCACACGTTCGTGTAGAAACTGAGTAGAAAGCCAAAAAGAGCTATGAGCATGTCAGAGGTTAGCTTGGGATGAAGCACGGAATCTCAACACCAACAACTGGTAAACACCATCATCAGGGACTTAACGTTACATTTGAAGGTGTATTGCGTCATCGTAACTTCGCCAGCTATAGGACGGTAGCAGTCAATCATATAGACGACAGAGATATTTGCCGCTTGCACAATAGTGAAATTGACTGGGGAAAGAATGTTAGCTGCCAGGATGACGGTGTAGTGCAGGCTGCAAATGAAGCTGTGCCTGCGGCGCAAGGGGACCGACTTAGAGCAAATCCTATGATAGGACAAATCCAATGCAATTCGTTCCCAATTCCGACACCGTAAAGTACCAATGCAAGTGGGCCAGTCACAAGGCTGATCGCCATCGCAGGTAGACGCATCTCCGGCTCCCGGAGACCCCCATTTAGCCGGGTCAAGTGGTCAGCAATGATGTCGGAGAGAGGACCTCCGAACCAGATCGCAACAACGGAGCCGACAAGGCCTGCTATCATAGAAAGACCAATTTGCCAGGTTGTGAAGTGGTATGTCGACGAAAAAGCGGTGGAAATATTGCTCGCCATGGCTATCAAAAAGCCTATACTCACAGACATGACCAGAGAAGCCCACAGTGCGGAGGGTAGGACAATAAGGACGATCGGCCGTAAAGAAAGCTTCCAGAGGGGCTCCGAGGTGAATGATTTGGTTGGCCAGGTCGCTAGGATCTTGCTGAAGCTGGGGCGACTCCCAACCACTATGGATGCCTGAGATGTTTCGTCGTCTGCATATTCGGCTTCTTCACTGCTGGTCTTTTCCGGACCTGGTCCAACGACATCTGGCGGTGGGTTCAAGGACGACCTTTGATATGTAGTTTCTGGGAAAAAGAAAAAGATCATCACGCATGTAGCACCCGTCAAGGCGCAACTCAACCAGAAGAATGTCCGCCACGAGTGGTTCACTGTGATAAACCCAGCCACGAGGGCACCTAAACTGGTCCCAGCACTCAGCATACATGTGTAGATTCTGCAGGAGCATAGTGGTTCAGTGTTAGCACATGCATCCGAGGATCCTTAGTGACTCTTTCTTCAACTTACACCATCATTGCACCACGTTCATGCACAAAAAAGATATCCGCAATCGTGAGAGGCCCTAGGACCTCTCCAGCTCCCGCCGCACAGCCCAAAATAGCCCGGGCAGCGAGGAGACTACTATACGATTCCGCAGTCGCACACCAGGCGGCTGTCCCGCAGTAGAGGGCGTAGGCCAAGATGTACACCCACCGACGGCCAAATTTGATCATCAGAGGGACCCATACAAGGTTGCTAACACCCATCATTAACGCACAAACGGTGATGAAATAAGATGCCTTCGAGATAGCCGCGGCAAAGTGGGGCCCCGGCGGTCCAAAAAAAGTGATGGCCATATTGGGCAAGATCACAGCCGGACCAGAGGCACAGAAAGTCGACATCAAGATGGCCCATGACGATATACCGGCGACAAAGTATTTGTACCATTGAGGCCTTGTATGATTTTCAGTTAGATGGTCAGACAGTCGGTGCGTTTATGGATCCTGCGTACCAATTCAAGGGATCCTGTGGATCGTTCGAGGGAGTCGGGATCTTAATGATTTCATTTGTGTGTTCATGCCTCAGCCTCATGGTCCCCAGCCTATCGCCTTTGTGAACATTGCCGGCCATTGTAGCTATGCCGATGACAGCTTCACGATGATTGTTTGAGGATGGAATGTTTGACGCGCCAAATGTGAAGAATAAGTAGGGTCGGAGGATGGATGTTGAATCTGGAGAGTGAAAGGAGATATTGGTGGACTGGGTAAAGTCTGCCGGTTTTATGAATTTCAGACTGTCTGGAAAAAAAAGCAAGGTCTGAAGACGCGCGTCCTGGGTTGGGCCAACGCTGGTTTAAAGAAGGTTCCCCTCCACCTTCGGCTTATCTTTGTTGAGTTTCGGTTTCGGCTCCACAGAGTTCGGCTTCACAAAGTGTGGGGTTAGGCCGCCTCCCCCCGGGAACCACATGGTCCCCGCTAAGATACGCGCACGTCCGCCCCAGGAGATTTACCGAGATCGGATCTGGTATACCACTCTACTTATTCTCCCATTGTTGGTAATGGTTAGCAAAGACTGGGACATAGTCCTTCTCTCATAGTCAATCATCCACATACGGACATCTGCATTTGTGATTCAAGAAAACAATCAAGGTATACTGGAAAAATAGTGTTTCCTCTCGTAAATTAGGTTATACTATCGTTCACGAGTGTGAAGAGTGATTCGTTGCCATTGTCATTGAGGTAGCCTCTGCTGAGAACTGTAAGTCATGTCTGACTCCACGCTTTGGTATCGGCCCCACGCCCGCCACTCTGCTGCGATCTATTTACGAGAGAACCGGGTGGGTGGGTTGCATCTTCCTTGGAATACGGGGTAGTTTCTCCAGGAACTGTTCGAGACGCCGTGAGATTAATCGCGAGAGAAATACTCTTCTTTTAGCTCAATAGACTCTGCCAAGTCTGCTCTGTAGATTTACTATTGGTCTCCCTTTCGGGCTTCCAGTTAAGCTTTTTCCTTGCAGCCATCTTCTCATCCTGCCAATTTATGTGATTCGCATCACCCGACTCCAGTACACACTATAAACACATTTCGGAATGTGGAGCCACTCAAAAATTGATTTGAGGACTAACATCGCAGGTAGTTTCCAGGATCCAGTTGACTGCGACAGCCGCAAACATAAATTCAGAATGCCTCCGTATGCAGATAGCTAATAGTCACCTTTTTACCGACTCCAAATCGATGTTTGTTTGACCCAGTATCATGATGATGTTTCACTTCTATCACCTCCCCCTCGCCATCTTATTCTGGTCGTCAACAGTGCTAAGTGATGCCCCATGGATAAACGACTTTGAAGCCTACAATGTTGAAAGGAAATGGGGTAACACTCCGTCGCAAGCCTACAAATCGTCACCGGTAACTTCGCCATTATGGCAAGTCAGCACGTTCGAGAAAGAACTCATCGATGTGAATACCCCGTATATTTTCTTAACCACCCAAAATCAAACGGGATTTTTCTCGACTCTGATTTTCAGGTCTGATGATCTGAGTTTGGTGTATGCAAATTCTTCTCGGATTACCACTGCCAATTTCCGTGTACAGAAGTACATGGGATCATCCTATCTCACCCACTGGACGGGCAATTTCACCGGCGGGCATGGAAATGGTCACGTTTACTTCCTCGACAATCACTATCGTTTGAATCGGAGAGTCAGCACCTTTGGGATCTCCTCGCAGGCCGACATGCACGAGTCCCAAATGACTGATGATGGGACATTACTAGTGTCTACATATATCGATAAACCTTTCGATCTACGCCCAGTCGGCGGACCAGCGAACGGAACTCTCGCAGACAGCTGTTTCCAGGAAATTGATCTAGTCACCGGAGAGTCTCTGTTCCAGTGGTGTGCCTCCGATCATTTCAAGCCTCAGGACTCATACGCCAAATACCAGAAGAACACATATGGTGGTGCAGCTGGCGGTGGCGGACAGGGTCTCAGTGTAGGCTGGGATTTCTTCCACCTCAACAGCATTCAGAAGTATAATGGCAACTACCTTGTCAATGGACGCCTTCTTAAACTAGTGACCTACATCAGTGGGGCCACTGGTAATCCTATTTGGAAACTCGGGGGTAAATTGAACGAGTTCAAAGACCTATCAGATGGGCAGGCGACAAATTTCGGCTTCGAGCATCATGTTCGATTTCGGTCGGCAGATCACTCTCAACTTACGCTTTTCGACAACCACGAGCTGGAGTTGAACTTCAACTGCACGACCAACTGTTCACGCGGCCTTCATCTCTCACTCGACTTTGAGAAGAAGACCGCACGGCTGGTGGAAAGTCTCCTCCACCCGGATCATTTGACTACTGCTGCCATGGGAAGCGTGTCCATCCTTGCAAACAATAACACTCTTGTGGGCTGGGGTCTGAACGCTGGCCTCACAGAACATTTGCCCGGTGGCAAGTGCGTTTTGAATGCTCAAGTGGCTCCCTTCGCCCAAAATATTATGAGCTATCGAATCTGGAAGGATTCATGGATAGGCTTGCCCACTTGGTCTCCTACACTTACATTCGAGAACGACACGTTTTATGTCAGTTGGAATGGTGCGACGGAGGTCGCGACCTGGAGATTGGCGCAGGCTGATAACTCTGCTATGCTCAACTCTACCTCCAGACTTGTCCCACGTGCCGGTTTCGAGACAGCAATGGGTGTCGAGAGATCAGCCATGTTGCCCAAATATGCTCAGGCAGAAGCTCTTGCATCAGATGGAACCGTCCAAGGCCGGTCAGCAGTGCTGGAGGTGGCCTCTGGGAGAAACATCCTAGCTGGAAACGGCTACCAAATTCAAGGATGATAGATCAAACTCAAGGATGTTAGTAAAAGGGATCGGTATCATCACAGGGACCAAACAGCACGGCTTTTCACAATCCTGTTCATCGCTGTATAATCTAAAGACGCGCTCTATTCTGATTGTCTATTCCTTGTCAACTCCTTAGAGTTCTGAAAGTATCATCATCATTTGAGAAATGTCACGGTTCCAATCAGCTCCCAAGACCTTCTCTCGTAGTCGTTTCAACGTCATTTTTATTTTTGAATATTTGAGGCCTTCACCGAAATCAGAAGAATGGTATGTTTCCGACTAGTAACAAAATATCTTGGAAAGAGTTCATATTACCTGTGGAAGCGTAAGCAAATTATGTATCGGCCACTTGCCGAGCGACAACAGAACGCGAAATGGGGTCGGGAAGAGGGCAGAGATAGTTGACCTCGCAGTAAAGCTAAGAAACGACTGCCAAGACTCTGATGCATTTTTGACTTCGGCGGCATCGGCCGGCTGATTATCGGGCCAGGATAGAGAAGATCCCCACCTCGGCTGGAACCTTATCACGGAATAAAACTCAATGAACGGGACGGGAGTGGGGCCGAGCACTTGTCGGACTCCGTCGAGCCGAGAGGGCTCTGTTATATTTTCGAGGTCGCCATTCCTTGGACTTGGCCCTCCCACTGATCCTCTCTTCAATTTTTCTCGCTTCCACAATTAGTCTTTATAATTCTCGTGTGACCACTTGCTTTTGTTCGTTCAACTCCCTCCCCACCGCAAAAGATCGCTTGCAAGATGTCGAGCTCCCACTTGCGCCGACCGAACTTTTTGGTCATCGTTGCCGACGACCTAGGATTCAGCGATTCCGGACCGTATGGGTCAGAGATCAAAACCCCGAACCTGGACCGTCTGGCCGCATCTGGAATCCGCCTGACGGACTTTCACACGGCACCTTCCTGTTCTCCAACAAGGTCGATGCTCTTCTCAGGAACGGACAATCACATCGCCGGCCTAGGGCAAATGGCCGAGCACATGGCCTCATTTGAGGAGGAGGTCTTCAAGGACCGCCCGGGCTATGAAGGTTACCTGAATTTCAGGGTTGCGGCGCTTTCTGAAATCCTGCAAGATGCAGACTACCACACGATGATGGCCGGCAAATGGCATCTAGGCATGAATGCAAAGACCTCCCCTTCCGCTCGTGGCTTTGACCGAGTAGCCACATTGCTCCCTGGCGCTGGAAATCACTTCAACTTCGAGCCGCAGCTGGACCAGGGCATAAAGCCACCGGCATTTCTAGCGAGCGAAGGCTTTTGGATGGAGGACGATAGATTCTTGGACAGAAAGACCGAATTGCCGGATAATTTTTATTCGAGCAACTACTTCACCGACAAACTCCTCACATTCATGCATGAACGGCCCCAGGATAAGCCATTCTTTGCTTATCTCGCCTTTACGGCACCTCATTGGCCGTTACAAGCTCCCAAAGCCGTGAGTGATAAATACAAAGGCTGGTACGATGACGGGCCTGAGGCACTTCGACAGCGGCGACTTCAAAGCCTGAAAGACCTCGGACTGATTCCGAAGGATGCCAAGCCTGCCCCTATGAATACCCCACTGGCCAAGGACTGGGCCTCGCTATCACCGGAGGAGAGAATGATTTCATCGCGCAAGATGGAGGTCTATGCCGCCATGGTCGAAGTCATGGACGAGAACATCGGTCGCGTCATCGACGAACTCGAGTCCACGGGCGAATTAGACAACACCTTCATCGTTTTCATGTCAGACAATGGTGCAGAGGGCACTCTTCTGGAAGCAACACCTATGGCCAGCGGCACCCCTCTGATGGAAATGATTGCCAAGTTTTACGACAACTCTCTCGAAAATATCGGTCAGCACGACTCGTATGTCTGGTACGGACCCCACTGGGCTTTGGCCGCGACTGCCCCTAGTAGGGCGTTCAAGGGCTTTACTACAGAAGGAGGTATTCGATGCCCATGCATCGTTCGTTATCCAGTACTTGATCGATGCAAAGACAAAGACTTGATCAGTCATGAGTTCACCACGGTAATGGACATTCTGCCGACATTTTTGGATCTGGCGCATGTGCCTCATCCGGGAAACACTTTCCGAGGCCGCGACGTGGTCCCCGTCCGTGGCCGCTCGTGGGTACCCTATTTGACCGGGGCGACTTCTGAGGTTTACGACAAGTCAATTGATGTGACGGGCTGGGAACTCTTTGGTTTACGAGGTATCCGGCGGGGCAACTTCAAGGCTGTGCTCATCCCACCCCCACGAGGTAGCGGCAAATGGGAGCTGTATGATTTATCCAGCGATCCCGGTGAGACAGTTGACTTGTCGTCAAAGGAGCCAGCTATCATGACCCAGATGTTGGCCGACTGGGACCGTTATTTTGCCGAGACTGGCATGTTTGAAATCGAATACTCGAAAAAGAAGAAACTGCCCAAGGTGACAGGTGCCTAGCGAATTGACCATGGTTGGAACATTTGCCCATATCTTGAGAGCATTCTGTTAGCTTGATCGGAGCCCGCATTAGAGCCGTGTGACAATTAACATTTACCATAGATGCAATTCCTACCCAATCTGGTTTTCTTCTCCTTCTGAAAATTTTTTTGGCTTCTTTTGAATTGTTATTTTGACCCTGTAACATCGAGTAGGCGGTAAATGTACATCCCTGAAGGCGCACTAGACCTCGGCAGAGAGAAGAGAGAGCACCTAGAGGGGCAACTTGCCTTTGATGGAACCGACATCAAGTCGTCCCTTACAAACTTACAGCAAAATTGCCGGGAGGTGGTTTTCCATCAGGAGCTCTGCTGGCAGGAACACTTTCAGCAGGCCATCTTATGAGCTACTAAAGTTGTTCTCACTTCAAGAGGGCTACGGATCTGCGCCCAGAACAAATGCGACAGCTGTACCAAGCATGCGTCGCACCTATCGTCGATGAGCGATTGAGTGAAACACTGAAACCGACTGAGGTGCCTGGGTCCGTTGGCCATATTCAGCTTCCAAAAAAAGTCAGTCACGATGAAGCCATACACTGGGCAGATGATGCTGTCACTTAAGCACGTGGAAGGGAGCTGCCAGGGAATTTGAACCGTCTTGTGATTGCTGAACTTTTCTGGGAGCAATCGTCTAAGTGGCATCTTTTTGTATTTGCACATATCAGGCAAACAAAAGGACTCCGTCGATTCTTTCTCGAGTCCTTGTTGTGGAACCAATGACATCCAACTTGGCTTATGGCCAAGAATTCATGATCCGATAAGTGCAAGGCGCACGCTCGCCATGAAAGAGATGGAGAAAATCTCAGAGGAGTTCAGGCCTTATCCAATCAATTACAACCACGATTATACCGACATGGTCAAGAAATGCCAGAATGAGAGAAGGAAAGTCGAGTTGGAAAAGTGCTTGGAACATGCAACGCAGCATATGGAAGTGCCAGGATGTAGTTCGGACTACACTTTCCTAAGTGTGAATGTGAACCAGACAATAAAGATATACTCCGAGAGAATAGATCCAGATTTGGACGAACACAGCTCAGAACTGGTACTCGACTGCCCTCAGGTTATTTACAAGGTATGAACTCACAGCGCTTAATTAAACGTGTCAGTCATTTATATTCAAAAAGTTCTTTGAGAAGGTTCTTGTTGTAAATATTACGGTCCAAGTGATTGAGCGTCACATTATTTGAGGTCTCGAGCATATCCATATTCGCACCTGTCAAGATTTCTCAGCTTTTAGATGCCGAGGTCCTCGATCTCGCTGCAGAGCTAGATTCGAGTAAGAGGGAACGAGAAGTCCCTGCTGAAAAAGTGCGTATATTGACCAAAGGGCAAGTCATGCTCAATGAGCTTATATCAGTTACTTAGTGTAAGAATCCATTTGGTAGAGAACACGGGTTAACTTCATATTACTGGAATAATACACGGATGTTTCGCACGCCTGATTTATGGCTGTTGCTTAGTATTGGAGGCTACTAGGAGAACGTAGCAGACCCAAAAGAGGGGAGAAAGGAATGGTGAGATTGTATCTGGTGAGAGGTGCCTATCTAAGCTACGAAGGTGGTGTATGGGCGCGCACCACGCTGGTGAGACGCGCTAAACCACTAAGCTATCTTAACACCCCCCTAGACCTCGATCCACTAATCTCACTCAAAACACGAAAAACATGAAAAGTGATTATACAAATATATTAATAACGCCTTAATATAGCTTTTTGAGCTCAAAAAGGTATTTAAACCCTTAGAATTAAGCTCGCTAGAAAGGCTGTTAAATCAGAGCTTTTTTATACCTAAAAGATATAGAAACCTCTCGAATTAGACTCGCTATAGCGGCTTAGTAAAGCTATCTACGGCCTACTCTATAGTAGAGATTTTAACGAATTTATATACCCCCCTAGAGACTTAGTCTCTAATATAATAGTATTTAACGTTAATATACTTCGTTCGTTAATATAAATCATAGCTTTTAGTAAGGTAAATAACGCCTTAGTTATCCTCGTAGATTATAGTAGGAAGTTATAAAAGGGACTCTATATTAAGTTCCTTAAGGAAGAGCTATAGCTATAATACCTCTTAGATAGCTAAAGATATAGCTATATACTTACTTTCTATAGAGGAAAGAGTAACGTATATTTACTTTTTATAAGCCTAAGTAATTATACTATTCGTAAGCTTAAAAAGGAAGCCGGAGGTTAATATACTACTATCTATATATTTACCGGCCTAATCTATATTAACGAATCTAAAGAGAGGATCTAGTAAGTAAGAATACACGATAGTAAGTATTTTAGAGCCCTTAAGATATCGAAAGATATACTTTAATATAGTTATATACTTCGCGAAGGGGTTATATATATATCTTATAAGCTTTATAACTATAAATATAATATCTAGTCGTGTATTAACTATTAGCTAAATAAGTAAGCCTACTATCTTATAGTAAGCTTTAACTTCCGCCGAAGTAGTAGTATCCTTATATAGTTATAGGATCTTCTTATTATAAAATAGTATAGGGACTATATATATATCTTATAGGTTGAATTTTATAAGAACTAATAGAGTTTCCTCTCTCGGTACTAAGTAGTATATAATTAGGACTAGCTATCGCCTAGTATTAAGAGGTTTAGAGGTTTTCTCCTACGTAGGTAGGTTTTCCCTTCTTCCTCTCCCTAACCCGTTTAGATCTCGTGCTACTTCCTATATCTATAGACTTTCTAGGTCTCTTAGGTTATAAGCCCGACTATCTTAGTATTTAAGATCGTTTTCTTAATTTATTTTAATACCCTATATTCCTTCGAGCGGGAATATTATAGCTTATAACGCTCTGATTATATTAGTTCTGCTTAAGATTTAACGTCTTCGAACGTTTAGGCGGAATTATTTAGAAATTTATTTATATAGATACGCTAAGGGGTTACGTAAATTATATTTATATAGTCCTATAAAAACTATATTATAGGATTACGCTTATTATATTTATATATAGTCCTATAAAAACTATATTATAGGATTATAAGCTAAATTATTTACCTTTATACTTAAGAACCCTTATTAATAAGGACTTAATTTAATAATACCTACTAAAGTCTTACTTATAACTAAATCCTTTATAACAAAAACTTCCTTTTCTTAAATCATCGAATCCTTAAATCCTTATCGTAAAAATAGTAGTTTACTTAGTAGACTATAGTAACTTTATTAACCCGGCTACTATACCGCAAAATAGTATTATAACCTAAGTTACTAATACTCCGAAAGAGTTTACGCTAAATAACTTAAAGGTTTTAATAAATACTAAATAATTTAATAAGTAGCTTTTAACTACGACTATTACCTTACGATAAATATAACTTTATAGATTCCTAGATATAAATATCCTAAGACCCGATACTAAGGACCTATATACGAAGAAATAGTTCGATTACTCCTATAGAATCTAAGGATAGCTATAGAGTACTATTTCTAAGGATATTTAAGATTAAGTTATAGTTTCTAGAAAATTATACGAATTTACGGATAAATTTATTAGTACTTTAAAGGATATCCTATATATAGCTAATTTTATAACTTATAATAAGAAAATTATTAAGCTTATTTAAATAGACTAGTCCTAGTTCTTATCTAGCTTAGAATTCGCTAAAGAATTACGACGATCTTATACTAAACTCTCTCGAAAATACCTAGTCTAACCTAGAGTTATTTTAGCTATCTTTTTAAAAGATATATTAACTAATATATCTATTCTTACTACTAATAAAAGTAATAAACTAGCTAAAAAGTACTTAAATCCGAGTAAGGTTATAAACTCTAATCTACTAAGTATTTTTAATAAGATTATTAACGATTTAAAAAATCTACCTATATTAGATATTATTAATTTAGCTATTTCGAAAAAGAATAATAAGAATAATAAGAAAAGTAAATACCTATCTCTCAAAAACGCGCTACTATATAGAAAACTAATTTAGATTTAGATAAAAGAGTAGATAGATAGTCCTACTTAACTAATACTAAATAGAAATTATATATTTTATAGAATCTATAGTTATCCGGTAAAGAAATATCTATATCTTATTATTACCGAACGACCTATAACCTAGAAACTAGTTAAAGGTATTTAGGTTAATTATCCCTAGAAAAATAAAGATAATCTAGATACTCTAAGACCCGAGAATATATCGACTATTTATAATAATAAAATTCGGAAAGATAGAATTACTATAGTTAAAACTATATTAACGAATAAAATAATAAACGTAACGACTAATACGCTTTCGACTAATACCTTTTTAAATAAAAGTAAAAAGAATATTAATATAAATACTACTATTAACTCCTCCGAATATTTCGTTAACTCTTTAGAATATTACTATAGTACCCTAGCCTTAGCTAATACTACCTAAATTAACCCTATTTATTCTATTTAAAACGTAGAGTATAATTTTTTAGCTCGCCTAAAATTATACTATAATAAACCTCGTAAAGATACCTTTCCGAAATTAGTATTAGTAATAGGAGATCTACTAAAAAACGAATAGATTATAGATTCCGGTACTTCTCGATCTATTTATATTAATATAAACGCTATTATAAAATTTTAATAGTATAATAGTATATCTTACTAATACTAAACTACCGAAGGACGAACCGTTAAGTCTATAGGAAAAGTAATTATAAGAATTAAATTACTTTTCCTAAATAGTTTAAAATTATTAGATATTAACTATAAATTTATACTAGATAGCGTATATAACCTATTATTAATAACTTAAATATTCTAGGAATATAAAATAGATTAGAAAGACTAGGAAAATAAATTTATTAACCTAGAATCTAATACTACTTTAGCTTATACCTATCAGAAACGCGGTATCCTATTCTTATACGTAAGAATACTCTAACCTACTAACTAGATCCTAAAAATAACTTAAGTTTAATAGGCCTACACGATAGCTACTATTATACC